TGTTGGCGGCTCTGGGTTTAGATGTGTCCTCTTTTAGTTTCCACAGGATTTCTTTATCCCTGACCTCTGTTGTATTCAGTACTTTGAGATAGTTCTGTAAGCAGATAAAGCCAAGAATGGACTACAGAGTCCAACTGAGAAAAAGTGTGGTTCATTTAGGTTACTAAGAGCAGGAAGTAATTCTTATTTATTGATGGTAATTTTTAAAAAAACCAAATAAAGATTTTAAGAAGGTAATACTGAAACTGCTTTATTGTTCTATCCTGTAATGTTATGTATTATAAGTATGTACATAGGGGCTGGCGCTGTGGTGTGGCAGGTAAAGCTGCCACCTGCAGTGCCGGCATCCCATATGGGCACTGGTTCAAATCCCAGCTGCACCACTTCTAATCCACCTAGGAGCTGTGGCCTGGGAAAGCAGTAAAAGATGGCCCAAGTCCTTGGGCCTCTGCACCCACGTGGGAAACCTGGAAGAAGCTGCTGGCTCCTGGCTTCCTATCAGCACAGCTCTGGCCATTGTGGCCATCTGGGGAGTGAACCAGCGGATGAAGACTTCTCTCTCTTTCTCTCTGCCTCTGCCTATCTATAACTCTGCCTTTCAAGTAAATAAATAAATCTTTAAAAAAAATGTTGGTAAGAAAGAAACTAAAGGGGGCCAGCACTGTGGCACAGCAGGTAAAACCACCACCTGTAGTGCCAGCATCCCATATGGGTGCCAGTTCAAGACCCAGTTGCTCCACTTCCAATCCAGCTCTCTGCTATGGCCTGGGAAAGCAGTAGAAGATGGCCCAAGTCCTTGGGTCCCTGCACCCACATAGCAGACCTGGCATCTGGCTTGGGATTGGCCCAGCTCCGGCCATTGTGGCCATTTGGGGAGTGAACCAGCAGATGGAAGACCTCTCTGCCTTTCTGTAACTCTTTCAAGTAAATAAATAAATCTTAAAAAAAAAAAAAAAAGAAACTAAAAATGTTTCATTGACATATCTGTGTTTAGGTTTGCTGGTCAAACAAGTTACACTTGTGTTAGATATTTAAGCAATGTTTCCAAATACATGTACTCTTATCTTGAAATTTATAAAAGGCATTCGTCCTTCTGGTAAATCTTTTCCTAAGTTGTTATTTAACAATTAAAATTGCTTGCTACGTTTTCACTTGATATTAAGCTACTAAGAGCAAGCAATCTACAAGGCCTGATTTGTCTCCTCATTTCTCCTCTATTCTATTCAACATGGGAAACTGACTATTCTAAAGGATTCTCTGCCAGCACCGCAGCTCACTAGGCTAATCCTCCGCCTAGCGGCGCCGGCACACCGGGTTCTAGTCCGGGTCGGGGCGGCGGATTCTGTCCCGGTTGCCCCTCTTCCAGGCCAGCTCTCTGCTGTGGCCAGGGTGTGCAGTGGAGGATGGCCCAGGTGCTTAGGCCCTGCACCCCATGGGAGACCAGGAAAAGCACCTGGCTCCTGGCTCCTGCCATCGGATCAGCGCGGTGCTCCGGCCGCGGCACGCCGGCCGCAGCAGCCATTGGAGGGTGAACCAACGGCAAAGGAAGACCTTTCTCTCTGTCTCTCTCTCTCACTGTCCACTCTGTCAAGAAAAAAAAAACAAAACTCTCCAGGATGTACGTTTGATATTTAGACCTTATAAAAGGGATGGCTTTCCGTGGGCACAGTAAACAAGCAAAACCCCCCTTTTCTTTTTTTTTTTTCTTTTTAAAGATTTATTTTATGCTATTTGAAAGACAGAGTTACAGAGAGAGGTAGAGACAGAGAGTCTTCCACTCGCTGGTTCACTCCCTAGATGGCTGCAACGGCCGGAGCTGTGCCAATCCAAAGCCAGGAGCCAAGAGCTTCCTTTGGGTCTCCCACAAGGGTGCAGGAGCCCAAGGACTGGGCCATCTTCTACTGCTTTCCCAGGCCATAGCAGAAAGCTGGATTGAAAGAGGAGCAGCCGGGACCAGAACCAGCACCCATATGGGATGCCGGCGCTTCAGGCCAGGGCGTTAACCCACTGTGCCACAGCGCTGGCCCCAAAACCTCCCTGTACAAATAAAAAGTTTTAATTTGAAGTCTTTACCTTCAAAATTTATAGACCGTTTGCATAAGGTGGCCATCAAGTGTGATCCTAAAGTGAGGACGTAGCTCTCCTTGTGGCATCATCTTATCTCACAGGGAGAACACTGTCAGAACACGCCTGTGACTGTAGATTTCTAGCTCAGGCCACCAGAGGTTAGGGAGGGTACTGAACACCCTATTGGCTGACATTAAAAGCTCCTTCGTAGTCTACCAGAAACCAGGAGGAAAAGAAGCAAGCTAGGCAGTAGGAGCAACGTAAGGACAGGTGGCAGGACAATTAGTAATAGCTTTTTTTTTTTCCTCCAAAAAAACATTTATTTATTTGAAAGGCAGAGTTAGTGGGGGGAGAGGGGAGTCTTCCATATGCTGGTTCACACCTCAAATGGCCACAATGGCCAGGGCTGGGCTGATCTGAAGCCAGGAGCTTCTTCTGGGTCTCTCACCTGGGTGCAGGGGCCCAAGGACTTGGGCCATCTTCCAGTGCTTTCCCAGGCGCATTAGCAGGGAGCTGGATTAGAAGTGGGGTAGCCAGAATTCGAACTGGCACCCACATGGGATGCTGGTATTGCAGGCAGCAGCTAAACTGGCTATGCCACAACACCGGCCCCAATAACAGCTTTTACCCAGTGATCTGCCATCAAGGAGCCCCCCAGGCCAGTCCACTCCAGACGGCATTGGTTTTTGATGTGGAAAGCCAGGAGGTCGCCAGCCTCTGAAGAGCCTGGTTGGCTCTGCCAGCCAAGAGCTGGGTCACTGGAAACAGAACTGCCCTGGAATCGAAAAGTTCCCAGGTCAGAGCTTGCTGGCTCTAAGCTGAAAAGCCCTTCACTCTGCCCAGCTTCCAAAGTAAACACTGCTGTTGTCGGGATGGCCTAGGGTCAGTACACTGCAGGCAGAACTGTAAGTCTCCTTTTAGAGATGCCAGCTCTCTTCCCCAGCCAGCTAGGTAATGGAAATCAACAGGGTGCCTTCCCTAAGGAGGTTCACACCTCCCGTATGATGTCTCGTCCAGAACCCAACATGAAGAGACACATAGGTCTGGACCCCATATATACCTGGCCAGGCCTTAACACCCACCTGATTATCATCAAGCCCCTCCTCTCAGTTTCTATTTTTCTTTCAATGGAAAAACTTTGTTAGGTCCTCTAATAATGATCCTGTCCTCTGTTTAGACTCTGTATTTTAATCTGCTTGTTAGATTCACTATCTCCAGACCTGAAACAGCGAGACTTCTAGATGGCCATGCACATGAAACCTCAGGTGGAAGCAGCTTCTCCACAGCTCCTGCTCGAACCCCGTCTGGACTGCCATTCCCTACCCTGCCCCTGGCTTTTTATCATGAGCAAGCCAGACAGGGCAAATAAGATTACAAATCAGGTCTTCTGATGGGTTGTCCCCACCTTGTAACTAATGACTGTGGTTTTCCTCCCGACATTGTGCTTAGAAACCCCACTACCACCAGCCTCTTTGGGTTTTGCCTCTCCAGGAGCCCCACTCCTGGCCACTGCACCAGGTCTCTGACTTTAATAAATCTTGCTTTTATCTCTGCCTTGTCTGCTCGGACATTCTCCTTCCATGGGAGACACAGAACGGAGGTAACCTTTTGTCAGTTTCCTCTGACACCACCATTTCTTTTTCTTTTTTCTTTTTTTTTGACAGGCAGAGTGGACAGTGGGAGAGAGAGAGAAAGGTCTTCCTTTGCCGTTGGTTCACCCTCCAATGGCCGGTGCAGCCAGTGCACCGCGCTGATCCAAAGCCAGGAGCCAGGTGCTTCTCCTGGTCTCCCATGGGGTGCAGGGCCCAAGGACTTGGGCCATCCTCCACCGCACTCCCGGGCCACAGCAGAGAGTTGGCCTGGAAGAGGGGCAACTGGGACAGAATCCGGTGTCCCGACCAGGACTAGAACCCGTGTGCCGGCCCCGCGAGGTGGAGGATTAGCCTACTGAGCTGCGGCGCCGGCCAACCACCACCATTTCACCTGGAATGCTGGGTTTCAGTCTATATTTTATTTTTTTATTTTTTTTTTTTTTTTTTTTTGACAGGCAGAGTGGACAGTGAGAGAGAGAGACAGAGAGAAAGGTCTTCCTTTGCCGTTGGTTCACCCTCCAATGGCCGCCGCGGCCGGCGCGCTGCAGCCGGCGCACCGCGGCTGGCGCACCACGCTGATCCGATGGCAGGAGCCAGGAGCCAGGTGCTTTTCCTGGTCTCCCGTGGGGTGCAGGGCCCAAGCACCTGGGCCATCCTCCACTGCACTCCCTGGCCACAGCAGAGGGCTGGCCTGGAAGAGGGGCAACCGGGACAGAATCCGACGCCCCGACCGGGACTAGAACCTGGTGTGCCGGCGCCGCTAGGCGTAGGATTAGCCTAGTGAGCCGTGGCGCCAGCCGGGTTTCAGTCTTAGGGCTACCCCAGTCACAGAACCCCACACGGCCAGTCCACCCTGTATCTAGCCACAAGATCAGGAAGTGGACACTCACTCTTCATGCCACATCAGGCATTCGGCCCCCTCCCTGTCCTATCGCTCCCTCTGAGCCTCTGGGCATTTCTCCTACTTGGCTGTGTTCTGTCCTCTCTTACCCTGTGCTCCCCAGAGACCGCTGCATGACCCATGGCACTAAAGTGATCGTCCACACCATGAACTCCTTTGGGTAGACAAGACCCCTGGACTTTTCTCTCCTTGAGTCTGTCATCATCACTGACTCAAAGGCAGAGGGGAACTGACCCAAAGAGCAGAGTTTCTTATCTATAAACCCCAAGCCCCAAGTGAACAGCTTTTTTTTTTTTTTTTTTTTTTTTTTTTTTTTTTCGACAGGCAGAGTTAGAGACAGACAGAGAGAAAGGTCTTCCTTCCTTTGGTTCACCCCCCAAATGGCCGCCACGGCCGGGCGTGCTGCGCCAATCCAAAGCCAGAAGCCGGGTGCTTCCTCCTGGTCTCCCATGCAAGTGCAGGGGCCCAAGCACTTGGGCCATCCTCCACTGCCTTCCTGGGCCACAGCAGAGAGCTGGACTGGAAGAGGGGCAACCAGGACAGAATCTGGAGCCCCGACCGGGACTCGAACCCGGTGTGCCAGCGCCGCAGGCAGAGGATTAGCCTAGGTGAGCCGCAGTGCCAGCTGTGAACAGCCTTTTTAACTCTCTGAGACATGGCAGTAACAACCAGGTTCACCGGTCTCAGGATCCATTTCAGCCAGCTTTAGATAGACCTCATTTATAAAGACAGTTTCATAGCCCAGACCTCAAAAAAGAAAAAAAATGTTGAAAGCCTTATTCTCCCTTCCCCAGTTTCCTCATAGTTGGTGTCACACCTGTCAACCAGTGCTCCCCAGGCCTGGGGATCAGACAGGTCTTAGGAAAGAAGTCCACAAAGAGAAGCCACACAAAGTCCCTGAGCAGCACGGACCGCAGCCAACTCCCCGGCGACTTCAAAGCTTCAGTGATCAATATTTGCTCCCAATTTAGCATCTCACAGGGGATTTCCTCCTAACCCTAGAATAGTCTGACCTGGTTCCTCCCCTCCGGTTAATCATCCACAGAGACTAGCCGGCAGACCAGAGGACTGAACTCTGCTGCCCCAGGAGACAGGTGGCACGCTCAGGATGAGGCTACTGAAGGGCCAGCTGGGTGACCGGAGGGTGACCTACTTTGGAGCTTTTGTGATTGAAGAAACAGTGAGGGACTGCAGTGTTCTCAGCCCCTTGACACAGGGTCCCAGAACACAGCCTCGCAAAGCCTTTATGGACTTTTTTGAAGTTGTCCAGTCCTGATACCCACTACTGTGAGGGCAGTGAGGAAGCCCAGGGATCAGAGGGGCTAAACGGGAACTCACAGAAGCTGGCGGAGAGTCTCTTTCTGAGCACGGTGGAGGCCTGGGCACATAGTAAGTTAAGGGAGACGTTAAGAATAAGGCAGGTAAGTGAGTGCTAGGTCCAACTAGACAGTATTTTTTAAAGTTCATGGAAAAGTGGAATAAAAAATGTGAGCTGCTTTTGGTGCAAAAACATTTTTTTGATAATATGTGGGACATGCATATTATGAAAAAACTATGCGTGCATTTCAAAATTTTCTTTGTGCCCAAATAAACGTTTTATTTCTTCCATGAACTTTTTGAAGTACCCTCATACAACAAAGTGCCTGGTAACTAAAGGAGCATTAGAGAAGATGAGCACTGAGGTCATCCTGACCTTGGGAGGATCTCTTTAAAATGGGCAGTGACAATGGTGCTCTCTGGTGGCCAAAGTGGGACAATACAGCCTGAATTTAAATCCTTTCAAAACTGCAAGGATAAACCCAACTTAATAGCTTAATAGCTAAAGTTTGAGTAGTTACTATTACCAGAGGCTAGCCAAATATGGTATATGTATTAATTCCCAATAACATCTATGATATTTAGGTAATATTAATTAATACTATTAATTAATATTAGTTAGTTAGTGTGTCTAAAAAGGGAAACCAAGGTTTGGATGAAGTATCCCATCCAGGGTCACGGCTCATAATTGGCATAGCCAGAATTCAGACCCAAGCCAGCCTCACTGCAGAGCCTGTCTCTTATCTACTAAGCTTTGTTGTTTATATGATGATTGAATGTGAATTATCAGCTGTAACTCAGTAAGAAGGTTTTTGAATCACTGTCAACTGGAAACATGAGCTCAATGTGTGGCTATATTTAATGATATTTTAAAAGAAAAGGAACCCTGCTCTTACCTTTAAAAACTTTGCCTATCTATACCTGAAAAACATGATCGATGGTGACCTCCAGAAAATATATAAAGGTAGGAGAGACAAAGACTTAATACCTAAAATGGCCAGAGGGGTAAAGTGGACTTCTTCAGGGAAACAGACCTGAATGGCAGAACAGAATGACGCAAGGCTTTTCCGCTACAGCTTACTAGAATCAGAGGGCAGGCATGCAAACTTGGAGGTGGTCTCCAAACAAATTCTAAGTACTGCTTTAAGGGCCAGTGTTTGGTGCAGCAGTTAATACTGTCTAGGATGCTCTCACCCCACATGGGAGTGCCTGGTTTGTGTCCTGGCTGCTCTGCTAATGCACACTCTGGGAGGCAGCAGGTGACGGCTCAAGTCCTCAGGTCCCTGCTATTCATGTGGGAAACCTGGATGGAGTTCTTGGCTCCCAGCTTCAGCCCTGGCTGTTGTGTGGGCATTTGGGGCAATGAACCAACTGATGGACAGTTTCTGTCTCTGTCTGCTTTTCAAATAAATTAAAATATATTCTTTAAACCTTTAAAAGTACTTTACAGAGCTATGATGAATTTGATTGCATTGATCATCAGACATGATAATGTATTTTGTCCTCTAAGAAGTTCTGAGCTTTAAAATAATAATAATAATAAAGTACAAAGCCACTGGAGACTACATGGAGGGAGGTACAGCAGAAAGACCACTGCCTCACACATAAGATGACCACTGGAGTTGACAAATGGCTCCTTGCTGCCTAGCAAGATGCTTAGCCTCTCTGAGCTTAAGAGTTGTAAATGAGAACATGTGTGGCTGTTATTTGCATATTCAGCTTCTCATCCCTATCCTATATTTAAAGGATTCTTGTCCTTGCTGTGACTCCTTCTCAACAGTAAAAAATTCCTCTAAAAGTTATTACCAAAGGATCGTGTTTTCAAATAAATTTTCCTAGTTACACCTGGAGCTTTATTACCATGGAAGTATTTAAGTTCTAACATTTATTCGAAAGGCATAGAATGACGAAGATCTTCCATCTGCTGGTTCACTCCCCAAATGCCTGCAATAGCAGAGGCTGGGCAAAGCCAGGAGCCAGGAATGCCATCCAGGTCTCCCACATGGGCATGAGTGGCAAGAACCTAAGTCCCTGAGCCTTCATCTACCTCCCAGGTGCATTAGCAGGAAGCTGGACTAGAAGTGGAGCCCAGGCACTCCAATACAGGATGTGGGCATCCCAGGCAGCAGTGGCTTAATCTACTGCACCATAATACCTGCCCTTCAAACATTTCACTGACAAATTATATGGCATCTAAATTCTTTTTTAAAAAGATTTATTTTATTTGAAAAGAGTCAGAAAGGGAAGTCTTCCATCTGTTGGTTCATTCCCCAAATGTCCGCGATGGCTGGAACTGAGCTGATCCAAAGTCAGGAGCTTCTTCTGAGTCCCCCATGTAGGTACAGGGGCCCAAGCACTCAGGCCATCTTTTACTGCTTTCACAGACCATAGGAGAGAGCAGGATTGAAAGAGGAGCAGGTGGTACCAAATGGATACTGGTGCAGCAGGCTAGGGCTTTAACTCGCTGTGCCACAGCCCCAGCCCCAGCCCCAGCCCCTACATCTTTAAAGTGCAACCAGATTTGCAGGGTTAATAGTATATGCTTGGGGCTAGTGTTTAGCTTACCGGTTAAGACACTGGTTAAGATGCACATTCCTATCAGAGTGCCTACATTCTGCCCCAAGTTCCAGCTCCTGATCCCCAGGAGGCAGTGGTGGTAGTTCAAGAGGTTGGGCTTTTGCCACCCACACGAGAGACCTGGGCTGAGTTCGCAAGCTTCCAGTTTCTAGCTCTGGCCATGCAGACATTTGGGGATTAGCAATCAGCAAGTGACAGCTCTCACTCTTGTCCCCCCCCCCCCCAAAAAAAGTACATGCTACACCCAATGTTGGGCTGGAATAAGTTGATAAGTTGTTATAGTAAGCCTCCAGACAGGTTAAGACTAATTCATGGATTCATTGTGGTATGAACTTAGAAATGTGTAGCATGTATCCTTATAACCTTCTGAGGAGCAAATCAAGGTAACTTCTACCCTTTCCTACGCAGGACGTATCACTGTGGCGGACTCTCAAGCTGGAGAGTTCTTAATGGCTGTACCTTGACAAAGCAGTGAGTTTCATCACTAAGTTTATTACGGGGGCCAGGAAGGTTGTGGCACAACAGGTTAAGGCCCCAATTGTTAACACTTGCAACCCGTACTGGAGTGCTGTTCAAGTCCTGGCTGCTCTGTTTCCAATGCCGCTCCCTGCTAATGCACCTGGGAAGACAGCCCAATTACTTGGGCCCCTGCCCCCCTATTTGTGGGATACCCAAATGGAATTCTGGGCTCCTCGTTTTAGTCTAGCCCACCCCTGGATTTGAGGCCATTTGGAGAATAAACCAGCAGGTGAAAAATCTCTTTCTGTCATTGCCTTTCACGCAAACAAATCTTAATAGAAAATTTATTAAAACTTGTAATTTTTGTTTTTGGTAAAAGTCTCAAATCTCCTATAAGAATGTTTTTATACTTCTACAGTCGTATCACCCTGAATACTTCTGACAGACCTAGCCTTCTGGAAGAGAAAGGAATGTTTAGACATCCAGCAGGCAGTGGAAGAATCAGGTATACTCTCTGGAGTATGAAGAATGTGAATATTACTCATATGCATCACAGAAGGAAAAAATTTATAAGAGAAGGGTGTTTGGTGCAGTGGTTAAGATGCTACTTGGAACATCCACATCCAGTATCAGAATGCCTGGGTTTAAGTCCTGGTTTTGCTTCCAGTTCCAGCTTCTTTGAGTATCCTGGAAGGCAGCAGGTGATGGCTCAAATACTTGAACCCCTGCACCTACGTAAGAGACCTGGATTATTGGGTTCTGAGCTTCAGGATTTAGCCTGGCTCAGTCTCGGCTGTTGTGGGCATTTGGGAGTGCAAACCAGAAGATGGAAGAATGATCTCTGTGTCTCTCTGCCTTTTGAATAAACGAAAATAAACAAAAAATTTTAAAAGCTTCCTTAGAACTGGTTTGGGAAACTGATTCGACAGGACAGAGCATTGCTTTGGGCTGATGAGAGAAGATGGAATTAACACCAGGCTCTGAGTTCTGTGAACTAGCACCACAGAGCCTGTTCTGGGCTCATGTGTTAACGCTTTCAGAGGCCGTGGTCACCTCCTACACCTCCTTGGTCCCAAGGAAGGGTTTTCTCACCAGCAGGATAACGTGCAGGGAGTAGGAATTCCTGTAGATGACACTGTTAAATGAAGGAGGTACAAAGAGGCGGACACCTTGAAGGAAAAAAGAAGGGAGGCCAATAAATAAAACAAGAGCTTTCCCAGTTAAGGAAAAAGACTTTTATAGAACTGTACACATTATTATGTATCAAAAACAAAACAAAAACGTCTGATTAAATAGATGAGTTATAAGAGTCATTGTTTTCACTAGCAATAACATTTCATAGCGATGTGTGCTATAAGGAAGCTTTGTCGAATACCTAACAGATTTTTTTTTTCCAATTTACTTTTATTTACTTGAAAGGCAGAGACAGAGACAGATAAGCAGATAGACAGAGATTGATCTCCCATCTGCTGGTTCACTCCCCAAATGCCTACAACAGCTGTTGCTGGGTCGCGCCAAAGCTAGGAGCCCAAAACTTTATCTAAGTCTCCCATGTGGGTGGCAGGGGTCAAGTACCTGAGCCATCTCCGCTGCCTCCCAGGGTCACACTAGTAGGGAGCTGAAATGGCAGCACAGCCAGGACGTGAGACCAGGCACACGGATGTGGGACGCGGGCTCCAGCAGCATCTCGATCACTGCACCAAAAGCCCGCCCCGCTGAACTTTGATACTGCTGGCCAGGCCTAGCGCAGGGTACTAAGAACGATTTAAATCAGAAGCTACTCTGGCTGCACTAGATCAGACTGGCACTCGGGAAAGCAAGATCCTTGCAGATCCGGTTTTGTCACTGAACAGTAAGTCAGTAACCATGGCCTCCCTTGGCCTTGTTTCTCTGCCTGTAAAATGGGCAGACATGAGCCAGATGACCTCCAAGGTCCCTTTAGATTTTCTTTTTTTTTTTTTAATTTATTTATTTATTTATTTTTTTATTTTTTTGACAGGCAGAGTGGACAGTGAGAGAGAGAGACAGAGAGAAAGGTCTTCCTTTTTGCCGTTGGTTCACCCTCCAATGGCCGCCACGGCCAGCGCGCTGCGGCCAGCGCACCGCGCTGATCTGATGGCAGGAGCCAGGAGCCAGGTGCTTTTCCTGGTCTCCCATGGGGTGCAGGGCCCAAGCACTTGGGCCATCCTCCACTGCACTCCCTGGCCACAGCAGAGAGCTGGCCTGGAAGAGGGGCAACCGGGACAGAATCCAGCGCCCCGACTGGGACTATAACCCGGTGTGCCGGCGCCGCTAGGCGGAGGATTAGCCTAGTGAGCCGCGGCGCCGGCCAGGTCCCTTTAGATTTTAAAATGCTTTAAATAAAAAAATAAAATAAAAAAAATCCTTGTTCAAGTGTTCCCTCCTTAAGGCATTCCTGAGACAGAAGTGTTTCATTCTAAACCCTGAGACAGCTACACTTCAGAATCAGGGTGTTTAAGAAATTCCCCTCCACCCCCTGCAGGAAGAAAGGTACCCTTAGATTCTAATTCCTGAGCCTAGTGCAGAATCTCTAAACTTAACAGAGTCCAGACTGACAATGGCTTGTGACAGAGATGAGAAAGACCTGCTCTTCCTTGCTGCTGGCATCAAATCTTAAAGCTTATGCTCACATGCAAGGCCTTTCACGCAATAACATGGCTTCCCTCATCTCTCCCCTTACTTGTCAGCTGAGCTGGTCACATCCACTCTCCCCTTCCTGTCTCTGCTCTTGCTGGTCCCTCCATCTGCAAGGGCAGGGAAGGAACAAGAATGCATGAGCAGTATTTCCTCTAAGACCGAGCTCTGTTTTACGTGCTTTGTTGGCATGGGTACAAGGAGTTTATAGAATTCTATACTACCACCGGCGTAGAGGGTCCTCTCTTCTCCATAATTAGAATCTAAGCACACCGTTTCGGGTGGGCAGTGAATAAATGCTTACCTAGTTCATGAGTGGGGCGTAACCTCCGAAGGCAGAGTGAAAGGTTCAGAGCCCTCTTTCTGTTGCCCCAGTCCTCAAGCTCTCCCTTCCCTATCTGTAATCCCCGATGTTCAGGCCTAATGGAAAGGCTGACTCCGGGCATGCAAAGACAACACATCTGCACTTTTGGTTTCATATTTTTTTTCAGTTCATTTCGGTAAAAACATAATATAAAAGGCAATGCCACCGTCTTCCCCTCCTGGGGGTGATCCATCAAGTCAGTCTGGGCTGCTCCAATGGTTCATAGCTCATCGTGAGATATGTGCAGGGCATGGTCACACAGATCTGCAAACAGTACATAACGATTGGAAGGGAAACGCCACTTTCATTCTGACACACACCACTAACAAGGAAATACGGTAAGCCAAACTGACGCACACACCAACCACCATGCTTGAGAGCATATGCTTAGAAATGACAAAACATGCCCCTCTGCACCACCCCCGCCCCGCACCCTGCTTCTATCTCCAATCTGAAAGCAGACAGAGAATGGAGAGGAACACTCCTAGTCCCTAAGCCAAGGGGCAAAGGAAATGGAAACCAACTCTTGGGCTATTATCAGGTTTCCCAAGAGAAGGTAGCTAGGTTCCATAGGGCGGTGAGAACATGAGATAAATGGGTAGTAGCTTACCTGTTCGCTTACTACAAAGTTTGTCTTTAACATTGTCAGCCTCTCGGGAAAAGAATTCAATGAGTTCATCCTCATATTCTTCCACGATGCTCTCACACTGCCAACCCAAAGGAGAGACGAGTGATACAGGGCAGCAGGAAGAGGCCTCCTGCCTCTACCTCCAGAGACGAGGACAAGGACATTAACCCAACTTTCTACTTGAGCCGTCCAACAGCCCTCCCGATTTCCAAGAACGAGTTACCCCCGCGCCAGAGCTCACCGCAAACTTGAGGGTGCCGCTGATATCCGAGTCGATGCGGATGCCCTGCAGGTCCAGTTCGCTGGATTCTCCGTTGCGGCCCACCACGCGCACGTAGTTCTTGCGGTGGGTGGAAGGATCGATCTGTTCCCCATACTCCTTCATGCGGTCACACACTTCCTCAAGCAGCTCTGTGAGGTGGGCCTCGGAGCGGGCGTAAGGCACCTGGAAAAGTCCTCAGCCTTCGGTCACTATCTCCTATGTCTGCGCGTTAGTAATTTATATCCTTACTCTTCCTTCCAACTCTGGCTCAACTAACTTATTCTAAAAATCCTTCCCTAACTAACACAGTATGGCTATATTTGTATAGTTTCAAAGTACTTTTGAATATATGGTTTTATCTTTACTGCATGGCACAAATAAGACATGTAGCATTAACTCCAAATTATCAACTCTGATCAATGGTGTTCTTTTCCTTTGAATTCATTCTTATGACTGTAGGTGATCAATACTCATGTTTACCAACTTATTATAAAGAATATTACAAAGGCTTCAGATGAAGAGAGGCACAGAGCTTCCATGCCCTGAGCACCATCCTCCAGCCACCCAGAAGCTCTCTGAACCCTGTCCTTTTTGTTTTTTTTTATGGAGTCTTCATTATCTATGTGTGATTGATTAAATTTTTGACCATGGGTACCAACCCAACCTTCAGCACCTCTTATCACTCCTTGATAATTTATTTATTTTTTTTTAGTATTAGAATGAAACCAACATTTGTTTTCAGTAGGACAGCAATAGAGACGCAAAACAGGCTTTGAGGATGACAACTATTAAAACAATTCGGCCGGTGCTGCGGCTCACTAGGCTAATCCTCCGCCTGCGGCGTCGGCACCCGGGGTTCTAGTCCCGGTTGGGGTGCCGGTTCTGTCCCGGTTGCTCCTCTTCCAGTCCAGCTCTCTGCTGTGGCCAGGGAAGGCAGTGGAGAACGGCCCAAGTGCTTGGGCTCTGCACCCGCATGGGAGACCAGGAGGAAGCACCTGGCTCCTGGCTTCAGATCAGCGCAGTGCCCCAGCCGTAGCAGCCATTTCGGGGGTGAACCAACGGAAGGAAAACCTTTGTCCCTCTCTAACTCTGCCTGTCAAAAAAAAAAAAAAAATTTCACAGGGGCCAGCAGTGTGGTATAGCATGTGAAGCCGCCGCCTGCAGGGCTGGCATCCCATATGGGAGCTGGTTCAAATCCTGGCTGGTCCACTTCTGATCCAGCTCTCTGCTGTGGCCTGAGCAAACAGTAGAAGATGGTTCAAGTGCTTGGGCCCCTGCACCTGCGTGGGAGACCCAGAGGAAGCTCCTGGCTTTGGATTGGCACAGCTCTGGCTGTTGCAACCAACTGGGGAGTGAACCAGCGGATGGAAGACACCTCTCTGTCTTTCTCTGCCTCTGTCTCTCTGTAACTCTGCCTTTCAAATAATGAGTAAATAAATCTTTTTTTAAAAAAAAGGTACATAAAAAAACCCAAAAGCTTCATAACCTTAATGTTTACATATTGCTCACTATGTACAGCTTTGTGTGTGTTACATTTTCAGCTGAAATCAATTTCCTAATTACAAGCATAAGACCTTTTATTCTTTTTGAATGAAAGTCTGTATGTATCCCAGTGCTAGGGAGGAAACAGGAGTTACACGAATTAAAGATGTATAAAGAAGAGGGCTGATCAGGGCTCCCAGTGACAAGTTCTGTACAGAAACAGAGTATTTAGGGGTTGGAGCCAGAAAGAAGGCACACAAGGGATAACCTCATGAGACAGAGCCCAATCTTCCAGGGACCTCTCTGAGTTAGTCTTCATTTCTGTAAAACCAAAGTCCGTCTTAATGAGCTGCGTTCTCATTCAAAGCCAGAGTGAACTCTCCGGGGGAACTAACAGTTACCTCCACCACCGACTGGCTGCCGTCTGGATTGATCCGGAAAGATCCCATCTGAATGGTCTTCTTGGGGTCCACCTGGGCAATCTCCCACTCGAGTTCATCCACCAGAGCCCTGCAAGCTGGGTAAGAGGGATTCGCATTCATTTCCCCCCAGGCCTTGGGTCTCGAGCCCTGCCCAGAGTCCACTCCCTCCCCCTTCTTATGTTCTGTGTGCTTTTCTTTACCTCCACAGTGTAGATCCTGGCTCCTCCGAGCCCAGGCAGTTCCCAGCAGGGCCCCAAGAAGCAGGGCCAGCCAACCCCAGCCTTTCATCTTTAACGTAATGGGGTTGCTCCACCTGAATTTGGGTGGGGGAAAAAAAAAAAAAAACAAAACAGAGTAAGGAACCGACTCTACTTCCCCTGCACCCCCCACACTCCACCTCTCCATCCCAAGGCCTTCCAGAGCCTCCTGCCATTCTGACTGCTTTCCAGGAAATGGCTGGGACACAAAGAAGCTCCTCTGCGCCGGCGCTTGAGGGCTGACCCCTCCGGAGCGCAGGGCTTGGGGCTCAGGGGCAGGTGAGTCCCTAAGTGTTGGTACGTTACCATTAGCGGCCAAGGGTTCACAGGGCTATGTGGCAGCTACGGGACGGAGGCCGGTGACCGTGCGAGGGGCCTGCGGTCAGGCCAGGCGGCCGGCGAGCAGAGCGCTCAACAACCAGGGCCTGACAGGATCCTGCACAGAAGATGCCCGCATGCCCTCCGCCAGCCTCCAAGGGACTGCACGTGTGGACCAGCCCCCTTTCTGAGGGCTCCCCCATTGCTTTCGCTGCAGCCCGTCCCCAGCCCTTAGCGCCGCACGCGTCCCACCTCTGCTCCCAGGGCCGCCGCCGTGGCCCAGGCGCTGCAAAATCGCCGGACTCTCACTTTGGCCTCGGTGGCTCCCGAGCCTCGCACCTGGCTGAGGGGGGAGCGGGGCTGTCCGTGATCCTCCAGAGCGCGTCGGTGCTTTCTAGAAACGGGGTGCCCAGGCAGCCGCCTGACCCAGCTCCCTGCACCCTAACTGGGCGCCTAAGCGGGGCTCGGGTTGTGTGGCCGGGCGAGCCCCCACCACACAGCGACCCTAAACCCGCCCCTGCAAACTCTCGCGCGAACAGGCAACGTGGGAGCGGCACTGAAGTGGCGAGGACCCCGGTGGCTTGCAGAAGGACCCAGACTTGCGTGGCGAAGGGCTCCACGTGACTGGCCGCCGGCGGGTAGCAGAACAGGAGCGGCGCCAGGCGCGGACGGAGCCCGGCGTGTTACACGGGAGCAGTGAGGCGCGAGCGATGCATCGCTCTAGGTGGGCTAGGGCCTTCAGAACCCCGGGCTGCGGCTAGCCAGCCAGACGACCTCGCCTCGAAACTACATCTCCCAGAACGCACTGCAGCACCAGCTGACCCTTTCGGCAGCTGCTGGCGTCAGCAGATGCCCTGGGACTTGTAGTTTTGCGGCTTACGCAAACCATACCACGTGTCTTCACAGCAGTCTGACCCTAGGGTACTGGGCATCTACAGCAAACACCTAGTGTTGTCCAGGAAGGGAGTAATTTCACTTCTCCCGTATCCATAACTTTGGACCCCGAAGCTTTACCTTCATTCCCGGATGTGGATTTGAGCACAACTTTAGTTTTCTGAGTGTTAATAAGAAACCAAAAAATAATAATAGAGCTTCACAGAACCCCTACAAAAGCAGTTCTATAATGAGACAGGTGATTAGACAATATTTTCGTTTTTATTTTATAAAACATGCGGCTTAAAATAAATTTTTAAAAAATAACAAAACTTGAGACGGGAAAGAAGATGGAAGACAGATGCTTCTCAGCTGTCAGCAGGAATGGAGCCAGCAGCCAAGCTTTGTCCAGGAAACAAAGTCCCTTTTGGCAATGGTATTGGCAACTGTGGTTTTCTTGATTCCCCAAGCTGCAACATGATGATCCCTCCAGGCATCCCCTGAGCAATTGAAGACTTGAGCTAAATCTTGAGCTACTAAGTATATCCTCTTGTCACTGTCCAGTACTTCAGTCCCCAGCCAGCTAGGAGCTGAGAGTGTTGGTCCCAGAACCTTCTCCGCCTAGATACTAATCACCCCGGGTATTTATTAAGAATGCCAATTACTTTCCGTCTGGGTCTAGACTTTGTATCTGGCCTGCTGTTTTGCAAAGGATGAAGAAGGAATCCGGCTCCTAGAACCTTTGCATCGATTTTTCTGAGTTCCAGTTCTATTAATAGCACCATCTGTGGAGACTGAGCAGGTCCCGTTCTGGAAGTGGACCCACTTGGGAAGCCATCTCCCAGTTCTGGGGCTACAGAGCACTGAAGGGAGAGGGCAGGTCAGAGTGCCAGCACTGAGGAGAAGACCGCTGCGTCTGTCAGAGACAAAACCGAGAGCACGACTGTTAGGCGAGTGCAGAGAACACCTGGACGCCTCTCGTGAAGAAAATGGACGAGAAAACGGGCGTGGACCTTCCCCAAACATTTCAGAATTCAGCAAGAGGAGATTATAGGACTGATGCAGGGTTTCAATAATAAAAACAATTTCCCTGCCTGTTAGGAGGATTAAGTGCAATTGTAATTGCTAATCACTTTACAAAAAATAGGGTAAGATTGGTCTTGTTATCATCACTCATCAACATCGTTGTGGTGGTGGGTATAACCTCCATGTATGCAATCAAAACCTGTCCGAGCCAGTCTCCCTGTTCCCATTCCAGGCCTTACTCTTGGGACTTGTCTGGCCCTCTGGCTCAGGCACCTTCCAGTCCATCTTCCGGCCCTTCTCATAAAGGCCCTTGAGCACCTTGTGGAAGGATTCAGGCTCAGTGCCGTTCTTGCTTAGCTCCAGATACTTTCGATAGAGCTGAAGAGCTGTGCGGGCATCCTCAATACTGTCATGGGTCTCCCCTTGAATCTTCAGGTCTAGGGCGAGTAAAGGCAGAAGAGTTGGGGACCAGGCAAAGGGAGGTAGCGACATATCCCCCCGACTCCCACCCTATGACTCAAAGAAAACAATAAATTACCTATAAGGCAAAGAGTCAAACACCTTCCCTAGTGTAGAGGAGATACTGACGCTAATTGTAAAAATCCCTTGGTCAATCTCATCGCTAATTCAGGGCTGTCCCTACTCCCCTTTGACCTCCAGCAGTTTTCCTATTTCTAATGAGCACCTCCGCTGTCTACAAGATGGAGCAACTCACCCAGAAAGTACCATGCAAGGAATCGCAGGGAAATCATTCGTTTTCGGGGCATGTGGAACAGGTACACAGTGTCAAGTACTTGGTCCTTGGGCACCTGGCAGAAATAAAACAGTGGGAGAGTTAAAGATTCATTTCCCATTCTCCAAAAGCACAATGTATACCCTGGGGGCCCACCCTCAAAGGTGATTCCTAAGAGTCCCTGCCCGAACCATGAGGTTGATGACCCTGAAGTCCTTCTGCAGGCCATGGCCCACGAACTTGACGCCAATGTCAATGAGAAACCGAAGCTTCAAGTACGTGGACTTGAGGGTTGTGAGGTGCTTGGAGGATATCTTGGCGTCAAGGTCTCCCGGCTTTATCCCCGAGTACTGAGTCAAGTAATCCACGACCTGGGAATAGAGAAAGGAAGTGAGGCGCAGAGTCTCCTCCTGCCACTCTTCCCTGGGTTCTCAAGTACAGGGTCTGCCTCACTCGCACACCTACAGTAATACCTGCTCCTGGGTAGAGATGTAGTCATCAATGAAGGGGATACCCTCATTTGGTCCCTGGCCCCGAACACAGGTGATCCTTGCTACTGACATCTGGCTTGGTTTAATGGTGGACTTGGTGCCATCACTGCGTAACTCTGCTTCTTCCTATGTGAGGAGAGTTGATAAGGAAATCAGAAATGCTTGTAACTCCTAATGGCCTTACAGTTCCATGCCAGTGTTCTGTCTTTTTAGTCTTGGTTACCTCATTGAGGGTGACAAACTCAGCATCGAGGCCCACCAGATCCCCAACCTGTGGCATTTCATTCAGCATCAGTGGGATAAAGGTAGTATGTGTCTTCCGCTGCTTCCGTGCCAGTGAGGCTTCAGCCAGCAGGACACTAGCCTCAATAGGATTCTTGACTGGAAGGGAGAACACACAGGACAGGGGGCTGGGATAGGTATCAGAGGAGAAAAGCCCAAGGTGGCTAATGGGAGACTCTGGGTCTATGCTGTCGTCCCTCAATAATTAAGGCATGCAAGTATTAAGATCCTATCTGATGAACAGAGCAGGTTTAATCAGAAAATTACAAAGAAACAGTGGCAGGAGTTTGGTACGGTTGCTTGGAATGCCTGCATCCCATGTTGGAGTGCCTGGGTTCAGTCCCAGCTCTATTTCACTCCCAATTCCAGTGTCCTGCTGACGCTCACCCTGGAAGGTGGCAGGTGATGGCTCAAATGGTTAGGTCCCTGCTGCCTACGTGGAAGATGGGGATTGAGTTCCTGGATCAAGGGCAACTGGGCGGTAGACCTGAGGATGGGATGTCTGCCTCACAAAATAAGCTAATTTTTAAAAGAAATATACTGAGAACAGACAAGAAAGAACAAAGCTTTCATTTGAATCATAGCCTACAGAGAAAGTACAGTTTAAAGCTACCAAACAGAGACTTAATAAGGAACATATCTCCCAAAGGGGAGATCTTCATGTGATTATGAACATGGTTAGACTCAAACTTGAGACCTGAATCACTCTGATCAAACTTCCCACCCTCATCTCTTCCCCCACCCCACCCCCGGGATCGCCAGCTCTAAACACAAGGTCGAGGGTGAGTGTCGGGCCTAGCAGCTAGGCAGCCAGTTAGGATCCCTGCAACTTGTATCCAGCCATCTGGGTTTCAGCTTCCTGCCAATGCAGACCCCAGAAGACGGCAGTGATGGCACGGATCAAGTGGTTGGGCTCCTGTTACCCACGTGGGAGACCTAGATTGAGTTCCCAACTTCTGGCTTCAGCATGGCCCAGCCTCAGCCATTGTAGGCACTTTGGGAATGAATCCACAGAGGGGAGTTCTCCTCTCTGTTTATCTGTCTCTCTGCCTCTCAAATAAACGAATAAATAATGTTTTTAAACATAATTAAAATAAGTAAGCAGAAATCTTTTTAGTGTGCCCAGAAATATTAATGCTGATTACCAATCCAAAATACTGACACACTCTATCCCAAATCTCTTCCTAAAGTCCTATCTAAACTATCTAAACTGCCCATACCCTTGGGTCTACTCTTTGTTACTTACTGTTCAGGTTATATCTGGAATTGAGATTTCTTTTCACGTAATAAAGGATTGCAGGTACTTTCCAATTCATGTCAAACTGCACGGCTTCATGCTATAGAAGAAAAAAAGCACTTATGGCCTTTGCATACACCCCCTCTTCCTTTTCCCCAAGCCAGGCAGAAGCCAGGACCGGGGTGCTATTTTTAACTCTGATAATACTTTTCATTCCTGAGGATCCCTCCCTCTTGATTTTGCCTGGCTTTCTATAAGGCCCCAAGGATGAAGATGCTAGGAAAAGGGGAGAAGAAAGGTGGAGTGGAACGTGTGACAACTAACCTTATCGATGGGTTCGATGAGAAAGTCATTGAAGAGATACCACTGCTGGTGAGTAACACCCTGTGGAGACACAGGAAGATGGATGTCAGAGTGACGGCTGGACCCCTGTCTCAGACTCAGCGACAGACCTGGGACTCCACTGTGGCCATCCCCAGGAATGTCCCTGCCCTGTGCCACCTCACTCACCTCTTTGCGCTGGTGGTACGTCTCTCCAACTTTGATATGAGCCACCAGGCTGCCCCCTGTGCGTGAGTCCAGGATGTGTACCACAGTTGCCATCAGGTCATACACATAGACACCATGCTCCTCCTCTGCCCTGGCTGGGCCCCACTGTGAGGGGGGCACCCAGGCTGCTAAGCTAAGTTTAAGGATGGGGAAGGAAGGGGGGATGGGGACAGAGGACAGGGAGTTGGGGGTATAGGGAATGGGGGACCAGGGTGGGTTATTTCCATCCTAGCCCGTCTACGACTCCCAGGGCTGACCTGAGCTGGTCTGGAAGATCTTACAAGTTGTAAATCACAGGCCTCACTCCCTTACTAAGTTCCACCTTTCCCCAGCCAGCTTCACCTTCTGCCCCACCTCCTCTCCCGTATCCTCCCTGCCCCCATTCCCAGTTTTTCAACAACCTGCACCTCCTCCCCATCAGTCCAATTGCAAACATCCAGCCCTTTGTTCTTGGTCATCTTCATGCGAAGGGAGAAAGGAAGCCAGACATTCTTCAGCTCCTCCATGGAGGGACAGAGCAGCGCACCTTCGGGACTCCCCACTTCCTTCCTGTCAGCACAGAGGAATCGATGTGTCCTGCAGAGATCCAGCTGGTAACAAGAGGATCCGCCAGGTAACACCATCCTTTGACAGCTCCCAAGATGGTGCCTACCGGTCAGCCCGAGCAAACTCCTTGTTCTTGACGACTTCCCCACCGTGCTTCTTCATTGCCATCTTGAAGGCAACCTGAACACAGGGAGGAAAACTTCTGATTGTTTAGGAACGTAAGCACAAACAGAAGGCAGCCCTAGGGGGTGAACAGGAAAGGCATGCCTCGACAGGCCCGTTTTCAGCCCTGGTCCTGACCTCAGCCTGCGCTCTCCAGAAATCGGCCTCTTTGGAGCTGTTAACCTCACAATTGATGACAAGAATGTCTGGCAGATGACGGATGTTGCGGGTCTGAATCTGAGGATGAAACAAAGAAGGGGTAGCTGGGAATCTATGGGGAAAGAATCCTAGACAGTAAAGCCCGGGCCTGCATCCTAAGAACTAGGGTTCCTCCCACTCCCGATTAGACGCCTGGGTGGCAGTGCCAGCCCCAGATGAACCCATGGCCGAGTCCCCAGCATGGCAGGACTAGTCAGGTACAAGAGCCTGCTCACCGTGGGCTGGTACTTTTCACAGTTGTCGCACCAGGCCTGTGTGTTCTGCTCCAGGCAGATGCTTCGCTTCAGCACCTGAGCAAAGTCATAGTTCTTCCCGGTTTTATCTGAGAAGAAACTGGATGCTTCATCCCAGGCTCTCCTCTCAGCCCTGGTTAACCCCCCCACGCCCCCTCCTTGGTGTTCCAGGACATTCTGGGAAGCCTTCCCGACCCGGCTGCAGGGTTACCACTGTTTCTACCCTCAGGGTAGGAGAGCGTGAAGAGCAGAGTGGAGGAGGCTCGCACGGTCTCGCTGCCACAGCGGCAGAGGCTGCAGTTCTCCATCTCGCAGCTGAACAACTGCCCAATGACAGAGTCCCCCGATGAGCAAAAGCTGCTAAAAGTGGGGAAGGCGACAGAGGCACACTGAGGGAGCTGGAGACCCCCTGAGGCACACAGGGGCTTGTCACGGGAGTTACCACTATTCCTGACCTGATCCCATAGCTGCCTCCAGCACTGCGGTAAGCTTGGGGCACTTCCAGCTCCTGCATATCTTGATGCAGCTGGGTGAGAATGAAGCGATTCCACCTCTGAATGAGCCTGGCCAGGTTGCCCTTGCCGGAAGCCTCATCCGAGTCAGCCAGGATCAGACCAAGGGCTGAGGCCTCGGGAATGGTGCGGAATGCTCGAAGAAAATTACTGCCCTGCAAGTGTGTCGGAGGAAAGGAATCATTTTCTCTTTGGGGGTCATTTGCACTGCAGTGCCCCTGCCTGCTGTCCACCTCCCTTCTCCGTCCATTTTAAGTGTCCCAGGTCTCCAGGCACTGACCTGGCAAGGGTCGCCACGAGAGAGGTCCAGCATGTGGAAGAGGAATCCCAGCTCACAGGCCAGGCAGAACTCCTTCTGGCAAAGGTGGTTCTGGATGAGACAGCGAACAGGCTCCAGGAAGTAGAGCACCTGGAGGGGAGAGCAGGACTGGTGCAGGCAACCGGGACAGGGAAGACAAGGGATGCAGCGGTGAGGTGAGCTGATGGGGGATACAAGGCAGGGGCCACCCATGAGCACTGGTGCCCACAGAAGGGACCTCAGTTGTGAGGCAACAAGGAATGGCAGAGGCGACCACGGGAAGGTGGGCTTGGTTGAGGAGACCTGGAAAGAGTACAGTCGGGGCTGAGGAGCCACAGGCAATAAGCCCACCCAAGCATGGGAACACCAACCCTTACCTGGATCATGCAGTTACAGTAGGCATTGGGGATGTGCGGCTCTAGTCCAGCAAACAGGGTCTTGTTGTAATGCTTGAAGTCAAAGTCTTCCAGCCCCAGCTTGGAATATTTGATGGTCACCTGAGATGGAAGCAGTCTGAGCAGGGACAAGGAGATCCTGAGAGTGCCCCCCAAACCTCCCCAGTAGCCACAGCCTTGCCCAGATCCTCCCTCCTGGGCCCAGGTTGTAGGCGAAGGCCTCCTGACAGAGTCCTCCAACTCCTTCATGTACCATTTCCCTCCCAGGGCACCTTGCCCCACATCCCACAGGGCCCCTGCCATGCTGTCCCTTAGCACCTTGCGGTATTTCTTAGAGACCATGTGCAGATGTGGCTCCTCTTCCCGCCCTATCGGTGACTCGGGGACCTGGCTGAAGGTGTCAAATTCACTGTCCGACTCCTTGAGTCGGTAAGGAATCTAGAGTTTTAAAAAAAGAGTTATCTTTGTTGGATCTTCACCATCTTTGGCTTCTTCTTCACCTTTATCCCAATGCTGAAAGAGCCATCAAGTCCTAAACTATCTATTTTCATGGCATTCTCAGCATCTGCCTTTTTTTAATTTTAATTTTTTTTTCGAGAGGTAGAAAAAAAGCTAGACAGAGAGACTGCCATTCCAGGGGTTCACTCCCCAAATGCTCATAATGACCAGGACTAGGCCTCTAGGGAGCCAAAACCAGGAACTGAAGAACTCAGCCCAGGTCTCTCAGATGAATAGCAGAAGTTCAATTACTTGAGCAATCACTGCTGTCTCACGGGGTCTGCATTATCAGGAAGCCAGAATCAGGAGCCAGAGCCAGGAAGTGAAATCAGGTACTCTGATATGAGACGCAGGTGTCTTAACTGCTAGGCTAAACGCCCAACCCCCACTTCTTCCTTTTTATTCTCACTGCCATCCCTCTGCGTCATCGCAGCTGCACAGCTGTGACAGCTGCCACACGGGTCTCCCCTGTGTTCACTCTCTCTAGCTCACCACCACCAAACTAACCCTCCCAGAAGGCTGCTTTCGGTGTGTCACTACTACGCACTGGCGTGCCAGGCTCCCAACCTGGCCCTTTCTAACTTTATCTCTCTCTCAATTTCCCAAGGCCAAGTCTCCTGCAGCCAGGCTGGTGGACTCAGAGCCCCCTCAGAAGCGCCTCTTGCGTTTATGCCTCCGAGAGCTTTCCTAACGCTGCCCTCATCGTGCCTGTTCTGTATCACCATCTGCCTGCCCTACTGCACCTTTCTTGCTCAGCGGCCGCCTTCTTCATGGTGCCATCCTTGACTACTGTGGCATCTCTGGCACTGAATGCTTAGACATTCCTTTAGCATTCAGCAACAGCATGGAAGCAATTTCTGATACAGCAATGTCTCACCTTCACCAACCACACACTAAACTTCCTAAAAACAGGGACTGCATCTTTGAAGTCTCCAAATCCTCCCTAACACCTAATACAGCTCTGTCAATATTTCAGTGGTCCCCAAAAGCCTTTACGAACTGTTTAAAACCAAAAGACCAACAAAGACAAAAGCAGCAATGCCAGTGGACTGGGGAGGGGCCAGCTCCGTCCCCTCTGAACACACCTGATTACGTAGCCTGGTGCGGGGGTTGGGGGCATAGCCAATGAAGCCTACTTTCTTCATGGTGCGCAGAATCTCTGCATCCACGGGAGGTGCTCGCCTATAATGCAGTACAAGTCTAGGGCTTAAAGGGTCACAGTGTCCACCCATCCACTCCCAACCCCAAGGGTCCAGAAAGAATACGGAAGGTAAACAAAAACCAGGAAAGTAGTAAATAATGACAGGGCTAGCAGAGGACTCAGCTCAGTTCTTTCCCCCTCCCTCCTTTGGGCCCAGAGGTGAGGTACAACCTGGGGGCTGGAGCGGAGTTGGCAGCAGGCCAGTCAGAGAGAAGTGTGTCAGTGGTGAGTGGCACAGGGATGAGGGAAAGAGGCAGCAGGTCCTGGCTCCAGTCCAGAGGAGGTAGTGAGTCCACGAGACAGGGCAAAGCAAACTCAGTCTCACGGGAGTAGGGGTTGAAAGAAGGCTCAGGGGAGTCAGTCCAGAGGTGCACGCAGCCCTCAGAATCCCCAAAGGCCAGGGCCTGCTTGCTGGCTGACACATCAAATGTCATTAGCAGAGGACCCACAGGATTCACATGAAAGATATCTGCTGGGTTGGCCAGGCCGGTGGGTTCACAAAACTGGCACTGTCCTAGGAGGGAGGAAAAGCTCAGTGAGCCCTGCGATGTGAAAGGAGCCCTTCCTACCCAGGTGCCCTGATACCCAGGCCACAGGGACCCCGAGGCACGTCTAGAGGCAGCATGTCCTCTGACTCCTTCCCATAAGCCACAGGAGCCATTCTAAGAGTGACTCTCCTTACTCTATCTCTTTTTGTGGTGTTCCTCACAACCAAAAGGGGGGGAAAAATCAAAGCTCTTAACTCTGCCCAAACCCCAGTGAAACTGTGGGACCCTGGTGAGAGGTTACTTCTTTTCTCCACAAAGAGGTCTCTGGGAGAGCACTCCTCCTGGGGCCAACTTCCCCTTCACTCATGACCTCTGCCACCTGCTCTGATGTCTTCATACCCGACTGAGAGATGATGGCGAGCCGAGACGTATATGTGGGGATGAAGCGTAAGAAGGCGGGATCCACGTGGACCTGAAGCGGTGTAATCGCACGCATCATGCGCAGGTCGTACACCTTGAGGAAACGGTCGCAGGCCAGGCCAGTGAGGCGGCTGGAGAAGCCGCAGGCAGCCAGGAGGTTGCCGTGCACGTCAAAGTCTGACAGACTCCCTGAGAAAGCGTCGAACTCATGCTCCACCTTAAAAGTGCGGAGGTCTCGCAGGGAAATCTAAAGAAGAGACAGTCTGTTATCTGCCAACCCTGTTATCAGGAAGAGTTATCTGCCACCCGCCTGACGCTGTGAGGTCATGACCAGAAGAACTGGCGCTCTAGGATATGGACAGGTAGGATGCAGAAAAGGCAAACAGAAGCCAAGAGCAGGAGAACTCGTGTTCACCCTTCTGCCTCCGAGGCACTGAGTCACAACAGAAAACAAGAGGCTGCAAACAGGGTGATGTAACTGAGCAGGAAGTGACTTCACCCTTCTCATCCCCTGCCTCCAGGCCACCACTCCACGGGCAGAATGGAGGAGAAGCAGAAGCCCACCAGACGCCCAGGGAAACAGGGTACTGTGGGGGAGAGGACCTTGCCGGATGTGTGGCCACAGAAGAAGAAGCGATTTGTCTGTCTCATGACGGTGACTCCAGGTGTTTCGACTGCATACTGCAGAGGGAAGCAGGGAAAACCAGTGGGACAGATGATTTTTCCCAGAGAATGGGGTAACTGCGAGGTCACACCCACCAGCCCGAGCATACACTGGCCCTGGCCCAGCCCCATAACCTCAGACCCTGCGTGGGTCTTGCCTGCCCCTGTACCTTCTGAGTCTCCTGGACAGTGTTAAGATCGATCTCCAATATGTGGCTCTGCAGCCCACCAACAAGGAGAGTGCTGCTGTCGGTCAGCAGGAGGCTGTGCATATCCTCACTCTCATCCAGCCTGTGGGGGAACAGGAGAGGCTAAGGGACCAGGGCCTCCCAGGCTGCCAACCCCAAGCCTTCCCATCCTGTGCATTCCCTCTTTCCACGTCCAAAGCCACAAAGCCACTTACAGGTAATCAAATATAATGAGGCCCCCACGGGCCATATACTTGAGGTTGTTCTTGGTGAGAAAAAGAATACCATTCTCTAGGCTCTGGATCTGTCGAATGTCATCATTGCCATTGACTTGAAAGGATGAGTAGCGCTCCAAGGCTGGGCCAAAAAATGAAGTGGCATGGCCCTGTTGGGGAAGGAGACAACAGGTACAGCACAGTGCAGGGACAGGGCCACCCCAATACAGGTCAAGAAGTAGGCCTTGCTTAGCTTTTCTCCTTCCTTTCCTGGCCTTTCTAGCTAGTAGCAACTGGGGCATAAGGCCAGGGACCAGACATCTTAGCAATAAAGAAACCGATAAAACTGTCTCATATAAAAAGAAAAAAAAAATACTGTCTCACATTTGGTTAATGTATTACAAAGTACATTTGTAAATCCTTCATTTTATCCTTATAGTGACTCTGTGAATAGGTAATGCCTCAGTTGCTTTGGACGGTGTTCAGAAAGTCAGGAGGGGCCAATGTTGTAGCGAAACAGGTTAAAGCCCCAGCATGCAGTGCCAGCATCCCATATGGGCACCACTTTGAATCCCGGCAGCTCCATTTCGGATCCAGCTCCCTGCTAATGTGCCTGGAAAACCAGTGGAGGATGGTCCAGGTTCTTGGGCCCCCGCACCCACGTGGAAGACCCACAAGCAGCTCCTGGCTCCTAGCTCCTAGCTTCAGATCAGCTCAGCGCCAGCCGTTGCGACCATTTGGGGAGTGAACCAGTAGATGGAAGACTCTGTCTGTCTACCTCTTTGTATAACTGTCTTTCAAAATAAATAAAATAAATCTTTAAAAAAAAAAAGTGAGGAATATGGTCCCATCTCCCAGTGTCGGGCTGGCTTCCTCATGCTCCACAGTCCTAGTCCCTGCCAGCCAGCTGGGAAAGGGGTACTATGAGTCACAGGCTGGAACACAGAGCATGTGAAACCCATTCCCCCTTTGACTCCTATGAGGTCACTTGCTCCTGGTTTCCCTCCTGACTCTTAGTTCATATCTTGTCCTTCCGTGCTCCCTTCCCTTCTGACCACTCTTGAAACACGGCTGTCCCCAGCCCACTATCTTCTCATGCTACTTGTCTTCCACTGCCAAGGTTTCAGTGAAACATGTTAAGGGCAATGAAGCCTTATTTCCTTCCCTAGCTCAGCTTCAGACTTAGAGGATCCAAATGCCTACTAAACATCATCTCCCCTTGGACAGCCCGGAGAACCTCAAATTCATTACATTCTTAATGACATTCACCACTTGGATCCCATTTTAATTCTTCGTACTATATTCTCTATGTTACCTGATCCACTCAGTTGACTAAGTCATAGAATAGTCAAGTCCGGTTTATTTCACTTTCTAAATATTTCCCAAGTCCGTTCTTATGTACCCATCTTAGCAGTGCATCCTTCAGGCCTTCATTCCTGCTGTTTATGTTTTTCTTTTTTTTGGAGGGGAGGCAGAGTGACACAGAAGGAGAGACAAAGACGTCTTCCATCCGCTGGTTCACTCCATAAATGCCTGTAACAGGCAGGGCTTGGCCAGGCTGAGCCCAGGAGCCAGGAACTCCAGGTCTCTCTCATGGGTGGCAAGGAATCAAGTACTTCAGCTGTCACTCATTGTTCTCCCAGGGTGGACATTAGCAGGAAGCTGGATGGGAAGCAGAGGTGGGACTGGATCCCAGGCACTCTGATATGGGATGTGGGAATCCCAAGTGACAGCTTAGTCTGCTGGGACACAATGCCCACCCCCTTTGTCACATTTTATGTGAGCTGCTACAGTAGTCTGCTCCATCTTCTTTAAGCCAAACTATATGCTGCTACTTCAGCATTCCACCTAGAGGCAAGCCACACCTTGTCATTCCAGATAGAAATCCGGGATGATCAAATCTAAACTCTTTCAACACAGCATATGAAGCTCCCTAGAAGGTTCTTTCTCCAAATATCTGCATGGTTCCTTCTCTTCCTTCTAGAAAACATAGAATGGTCATCCTAGCCTGGATCCAGGTCTCTCTACTCAAGGGTGACTCTATCAGACATCTTCTGATCTAAAATAGTACCATCTCCCACCCCTCACTGTCTCACCTCCCTAACTACACTGTAATTTTTTTTTAGTACAAACCAACATCTGAGAATATTGTATTTTTTTAATTTGTTTACTGCTCATTCCAAACTTAAAACCTTATAGCAGGGTTTGGCACCAAGCAGGTAGCTCAAAAAGCAGTCAGGTATCACTTCCTGAAGTAAAGTGAAGGAAGGCCCTCTCTGACCCTGCAGTAACTATTTTCACACTGGCATTTAGCACCATGGAATTATCTGTTTAAATCTTTTCTTCTTCAGTGTCCCATAAAGTCCTCAAGGGAAAGGATTCTGTTTTACTCAGCTTTCTTCTCTGCCTAGATACTGCCTACTAAACGGAATAAGTCACAAAGAAAAAAATCCATCCCTTCTAATGGAAAAACAATTCATGTCCTGTAAAAGGTAAATTAGGGGCCAGTGCTATGGCATAGCAGGTAAAGCCGCTGCCTACAGTGCCAGCATCCCATAAGGTAAATTAGTAAACAATGGGCAGCACATTATTATTATTATTTTAAGATTTATTTATTTACTTGAGAGGCATAGTTACAGATAGAAAGAGGGAGAGACAGAGAGAAAGGTCTCCGATCCACTGGTTCACTCCCCAAATAGCCGCAATGGCCAGAGCTGGGTGGATCCAAAGCCAGAAGCCGGGAGCTTCTTCCTGGTCTCCCACTTGGGTGCAGGGGTCCAAGGGCTTAGGCCATCTTCTACTGCTTTTCTAGGCCATTAACAGGGAGCTGGATTGGAAGTGGAGCAGGTGGGACTCAAACCAGCACCTATACGGGATGCTGGCACTGCAGGCTTAACCTACTACACCACAGCGCCGGCCCCAAAGCATATTATTTCTTACAAAATCTATGGCTCCATAATATATTGGCAATATGGAAACATATTTTTAAAAATTGCATTGATGGGCTGGCGCTGTGGCACAGCAGGTTAAGCCATGGCCTGAAGCACCCACATCCCATATGGGTGTCAGTTCCAGTCCCAGCTGCTCCACTTCTGATCCAGCTCCCTGCTAGGTGCCTGGGAAAGCAGTGGAAGATGGACCAAGTCCTTGGGCCCCTGCAACCTCATGGGAGACCTGAATGAAGCTCCTGGCTTTGGCCTGGCCCAGCCCTAGTCTTTGTGGCCATTTGGGGAGTGAACCAGCAGATGGAAAAATCTCTGTCTGTTTCTCCTTTTCTCTCTGTAACTCTGCCTTTCAAACAAATAAATCTTTTTTTTTTTTTTTAAATCACATTGATAACTTCTCTGAGATTAAATCAACCTGAGAAGACAAAACAATTCCTTGTAAGGTATACAGACACATTCGCTAAACATTCTATAATTATAAACATGGAAAACAGAGAAAGCCATTAGAGATTAGGTTTAGGTGGCTATAGTCTAACTGATGGGTAATTATCAAGATTAATCAAAACAAGAAGGGCAAACAGGCTAAAGTAGGATGCCTCCTGAGAACGAATATCTGTGTAACTCATCCCTGGATCCTAGGCCCCCCGTTCTGCCTCCACCCTCTGGTCTGGATTTAGAGCCCCAGCTAACTCACTCATCATTTCCACTCAGTTCTAACTCTGGGCAAAGCAGCTCTCCTTGGGCAGAGACCAGAGACTGCCAGCAGCTCCTTTCACTCCCCCACAAAGGGATACAGTTCTTACCCCGTGGCTCCCCACCCACAGCATCTCCTCGTGCAAGTCAAAGTGAGAGACGGAGACAGGCACGCCCACTTCAGCCACCACGCTGTGCAGCTCAGAGTAGACGCCTTCCATTATGTGCACCGACTCCTGGACGGGAAGAGCCTCCAGGGCTACTCCCTCCGGGTCCAGCTCCACATTCTGTAGCAGACTCGGGTTCAGGTGGGCATCCAGGACAGGGTCCAGGGTGGAATGCATAGCCGGAGCATACTCTGCCAATCCAGGGTCCAGACCCTCAAAGTTCATGATGCAGGCAGCTGATCAGACCTGTGTCGCACCCTCCCTTGCCACAGTCCCTTTAGATGCCGGGCCCAGCCTTCAGCCAGACAGCACCAGAGGGCCTAGACTGAACATCCTGGCCTGCAAAGGGAAAGAGGTTAACTGAGTCACGGGTAGGCCTGGGTACTGGTCCTAGGTTATGCGGGCAGGGGTGCCGCGAGGCTGGCGGAAGGGATGAGATGGCAGGGAGAGGACGAAGCAGGCAGGCAGGGGTGGGGAGGTGGGAACACTTATCCTTATTCTCCTCTGGGCCCTCTCTTCTCACCGCCCTGCTGTCCGACCTCATCCTTGCTTTCCCTCCCTCCTCCCTCAGACCCGCTCATTCGGGAGACTTCAACCCTGGGACAGGTGAAGGCAGCGGGAACCATAGCGGGTAGAGCTAGGTTGAGGGGTCCAAGGAGCTTTTCCCCCAGAACTGGCTTTGAGTGGTGAGGGGAACTAGAGATGTCAGTTTCCCAGAATCCTAAGCAATAGTTACCCAGGATTCTTTGGGGAAAACAAGAATGGCCACTTATGCACGAGTAGGGTGGGGGTAGGGGAGGGTGATGGAAACGGATAGCTACCCAGAATTCTCTGGGGGAACCTGAGAAATCGGTTACCCAGAATTCTCCCCCGGCGGCGGGGAGGAGATTAGGGCAAGGGTCAGATGTGTTCCTGGGATGCCTACGGGGGAATGGGTCATTACCAAGATTTCTCCATGGCGGATATTTTGGAGCGCGTGGAATTAAAACGAGTAGTACGAGAGCAAGCGCCGTCAGCTACGTGGGAAATTCCAATTTCCCTAGTTCTCCCCCGCGCCTCCAGCTCAACCGAACTTTACGGCGGGAAGAAGGGCGGGTTCATAGTTGCCGCTGCCAATCAGGAAGGGCTTGGGACATGTCGAAGCCAATCGGAAGGAGCCAGGTACTGACGGCCCCGGAGAACGTGTGTGACGCAAGAGCGAGGCGAAACGGAGTTACGGTGTGCCGATGGGGACAAGTGGAGGCGGGCCCGGCGTTTCCGTGGTGTGAAAAGTAGTTTCTTGCTTAACCCTATTTGAATGAAATTAGCCCTAGACTTAGAAGCCGAGCCTTTATGCTCTCTGTAACTTTAGAAAGTCAGACTGAGGGGCGCCCAAGGCAGGGTGCTGGCCGGCGATTCCTGGGTATTCCCGGCGTGGCTTGGTCCACCCCCTCTCCAAGCGGCGCTCCTGTGAGCCACCCCGCCACTTCTGACCCTGCTGCCCCCGAAACTCGCTGGTATTTCCTATCATGTGTAGATATGGGTGAGAAAAAAGGAAGCAGGAGCCACACTCCTGACATGGCCCAAAAGCATCCATCTAAAATTCCCATCGGTGACTGCTTGCTCCCCAGAGGCCCCGTAATATTCCCAGTGAATAGGGCTCCCCAGCTGACAAATTCCCCTAGCTGGTGCAGTAGTCCCTCAGAGGGAAGGGGGCACAGCCAACGGGGACGTTTGCCTTCCGAACACGCATAGGATTTACCAACAGAAAACGCTGAGGGATTCTCGGGGCCAGTGAGCTTGAAAGACTCCAGGTTGGGAGATGTCTCTGGGCACTTTTTACTGTTTCTAAAGGCCATGGAGAGGGACTCAGTGGAAGACACGCTTTGTGGAGGATGCAGGTTTAAAATATTTGGACCGGGGGCCCACGCTGTGGCGAAGCGGGTTAACGCCCTGGCCTGAAGCGCCAGCATCCCATATGGGCGCCGGTTCTAGTCCCGGCTGCGCCTCTTCCGATCCAGCTCTCTGGTATGGCCTGGGAAAGCATTAAGAAGATGGACCAAGGCCTTGGGCCCCTGCACCCGCGTGGGAGACCCTGAAGAAGCTCCAGGCTTCAGATCAGCGCCGAGTGGACCAGCGAATGGAAGACTCTCTCTTCCGTCTCTTTCTCTGTATAACTCTTTCAAATAAATAAATCTTTTTGAAAAAAAATAAAGTATTTAGACCTTCATAAAAAGACCCAAGAATTTAAACTTCTCTAGGACTCAAAGGGGTTCCAGACCAAGAGGAAAATACCCGAACTCAGAGGTCTCTCAAACTCATCTGACACAGGTGCTTAGATGTCAAAATCCTATAAGGAGTGGGAATTTGGCTTAGTGGTTAAGATTTTAAAAATACTTATTTATTTATTTGACAGGCAGAATCACAGAGGAGAGGTATAGGCAGGGACAGAAGTCTTCCATCTGCTGGTTCACTCTCCAAATGGCCACAAAGACCAGGGCTGGGCTGGACCCAAGCAGGAGCCAGGAGCTTCATCCAGGTCTCCCACAAAGGTGCAGGGGCACCAGCACTCAGGCCATCTTCTGTTAGCAGGGAACAGGATCAGAAGTGGAGCAGCCAGGGATCAAACTGGGGCCCTTCTGGGATGCTGGCACTGCAGGCAGCGGCTTAACCCGCTGTGCCAAAGCACAGGTCCCAGATGCTCGCATTCTATATCAAAATGGTTGGGTTCAGGCCGGTGCCGCGGCTCAATAGGCCAATCCTCCGCCTGCGGCACTGGCACACTGGGTTCTAGTCCCAGTTGGGGCACCAGATTCTGTCCCAGTTACTCCTCTTCCAGTCCAGCTCTCTGCTATGGCCCAGGAGTGCAGTGGAGGATGGCCCAAGTCCTTGGGCCTAGCACCCGCATGGGAGACCAGGAGAAGCACCTGGCTCCTGGCTTTGGATCAGTGCAGTGCGCCGGCCGCAGCGGCCATTGAGGGGTGAACCAACAGCAAAGGAAGACCTTTCTCTCTGTCCCTCTCTCTCACTGTCCACTCTGCCTGTAAAAAAAAAAAAAAAAAAAAAAGGTTGGGTTCAACACATGGCTTCACTTCACTCCTGACTCCAACTTTGTGCTAATACAGACCCTGGGAGGCAACAGAGATGATCCAAATTATTGGGTTCCTGCCACCCAAGACCTGGATTGAGTTCCAGCCTCCCAGCTTTTCCCCCAAGTAAGGGTCATTGGGCATTTGGAGGAGTGAATCAGCAGAGATGGGAGCTCTTCTCTCTCTCTCAAAAAAAGGGGCTAGCGTTGTGGTGCAGTGGGTTAATGCCCTGGCCTGGAGTGCTGGCATCACAAGTGGGCGCTGGTTCGAGACCCGGCTGCTCCACATCCTATCCAGCTCTCTGCTATGGCCTGGGAAAGCAGTGGAAGATGGATCAAGTGCTTGGGCCCCTGCACCTGTGTGGGAGACCCGGAGGAAGCTCTTGGCTCCTGGCTTTGGATCGGGCAGCTCTGGCCATTGTGGCCATCTGGGGAGTAAACCATTGGATGGAAGACCTCTCTCTCTCTGCCTCTCCTCTCTCTGTGTAACTCTTTCAAATAAATGAAGAGATCTAGAAGACAGAAATCTCTAGCCTGAGGTCTCAAATTGAGAAAGACTCCATACAGGCTGAGATACTTGGACATTATTTAAAACCATAAGGCAAAGATGCTCCTGTGTCTCCTCACAGCATCCACGGTAACTCAGTGATTCATGCAGGCTTGAGGGCGGGCCTTGGTGCAGTGCACTGCTAAAGACGCCACAGCCCATTTCAGAGTGCCTGGGTTCAGATTTCAGCTCTACTTCCAATTCCAACTTCCTGCTAAAGTACACCCTAGCAAACAGGGGTGATGGCTCAAGCACTTGGGTCCCTACCACCCATGTGGGAAACCTGAACTGAATTCCTGGATGCTGGCTTTGGGCTGGTTCAGCCCCAACTGTTGTGGGCATTTGAGGAATGAACCAGAGGATAGAAGCTGTCTTTCAAATGAATAAGTTAAATAAATCAAATACATACATACATATATATGTTTATACACACACACACACGTAGGATCAGGCTGAAGGTGGATTGTTTGCACCGGAATTCTAGCCACTTGGTAGCTCTCCAGAAAACTGCCCACCTGGAGCTCCCTCTCTTCATCTGTAACATGGGGATAGTGACAATATCCAACTTGCAGACTTGCTGTGAGAAATAGGTTAACACCTGAAAAGTGCTTAGACCAAGAAGTTGGCCTAAAGTGCGTGTTGGATTAGCCATTGGTATTAACCACCTAGGGGAATTTCAGCCGGATTTGGAATCTGGTGATCCAGCCGGAAAGGCCTACCTAGGAGTGTCTTGCGAATGTGATTTGCATAGCGGTTGAGGCTCAGCTGACGTCAAGTGCTCCTTGCAGCTCTAGGTCAGATGTAATCCTGGAAGTATTTCCTGTTCACACAACAGTCCCACAGTCACCCCCATCAACCCTGCTCCTGCTGAACTCCTGCAGCAGCAGGAAGTGAAACAAAGGGCAGAGCCCCAGCCTCCAGCTCACCCTTGTCCCTCTCACCTCGTCCCTTAGGGCTCCACTTCCTCCCCCTCCTCTTCACCTTTCATCTTCTGTCTTTTAGGGCTCCCAGAGTGGGGACGGGGCGGGAAAAGCATAGGAGACATTACATAACTTGAGATGAAGTCCCCTACGCCCCTCCTTCTAATGTCCTGATTTCATTTGTGTGCATTTTATGTAGGGAAAGGCAAACCATTTTCTTGCCCAAACTGAGCTAACTTGTTGCTAGAAATGTTTCATCCAAACGTTGGATTTGCCAGACTCGTAATATTTGCACCAGAAGTTTCACTGGGCAGTTTTGAATGGGTCTGAGGGAAGAGAGACCTTCACAGAGGGCAAAAGGTCAGCCTTTTGGGAAGGCATTGAGAGCCAGCTGTGTGGTCACCCAGAGCCTCATTCTGACGTCCAAATGGTTCTGGAACCCTCCACCAGGGCTGGGGCAGCCCCAGCCTTGGACCACCCTCCACTCCCACACCCAGCCTTCCACTAGCAGTTGTTTCGCTGAACGTTGCATCAGGGAGGTGATGAAATCGGTCAGCGGATTTTACCCACAGATGCAATAGGCGAAGGACTGGGCAGGGTCCTGGACACCGTGCATTCTCAGCTACCCAGAATTCCGAGGCTTCTTAGCCATGGGGAAGGGACTGGGGACTGGCAATCTAGGTTAGACTCCCTGGTCTTGCTTACACTGGTATCCTGAAAAACCCTCCCCTGAAATCCTGGGCAATGAAGGTTGAAGAATCAGATGCTCCCCACAGGAGCCCTCCAAATGTCACACAAAGAGGCCTGAGGCAGGAGGGCAAAATCAGACCACTTGCGTGGCTTCCCAACTCACAAAGCATCTTCTCCTACGTTCCCTCCCCTCCTCGAGGAAACCAGGGAGTCTCATGAAAATAACATTGTTTCCGGTGGAGAAAAAGAAGTTCCCTAATTCTTAGATAGCAGGCGTGAGGTAGGAACCAAATTTCATTCCCAACTGAGCTCACCATCCCGTTGGGAGATGACTGAGTGCTTCTCTGTTTGTTTTTTTCTCAAGCAAGAGGAAGTGAGGAAATTAGGTTTAGGGTGTGGTAGTGGTACAACCTTGAGAGGCAGAGAGATCAGGGGACGATTACACAGGAAGGAACTTGAGACCAGAGTGATTTAAATGTTCGTTCCTCCCCGCCACACACACGCTTTGACAGCCACTTAGATTCCTGAAGAGCACTACACACGTGTGTCCCATTCCAGACCTCCAACCACAGCCACCACACCACTTGCCCTGCCACTGGGCTGCATACCTGGGCTCTCCACAAACAGAGGATGATGCAGAGAGGGGAATCCCACCTGCTGTGAGTCACCTGCTAGGACGGAGGGCGGGCCTTGCAATGTGGGGACCTTAAAAAGAGACTCTGAGGCAAAGGGAGAAAAACAACAGGAAGCAGCTCAAGACAGACAGCATCGGGCTCAGAGCAAGGGGAAGTGGGCAGAGATTCCCTAAGGACTGGGGCAATCCCGGAGCCAACCCGATTTGAGAAGCAGGCAACAGGATGCTGGGGCTCAAAGCTGGGTTGCTGCTGTTGCTGCTGCTCTGGACTGCTCAGGGCCGGGCTGTGCCTGGGGACAGCAGCCCCGCCTGGACTCAGTGCCAGCAGCTCTCCCAGAAGCTCTGCACACTGGCCTGGAGTGCACATCCCCAGATGGGACCCATGGTGAGTGACAGCTTCTGGGACCAAACAGGAGTCTCCCCCAGCTTCAAGACTGCAGTGGGACACTCTTGGCCTTAGGTAGAAGCTGGAGGGTTGAAGGCCAACAGGATTTAGAGGGGGCTCATGGACTTGCAGATCCAGATGCGGTACATGAGTTCTTATTCTTTGTTTTTCCTTCTCCCTTCCTCCATTCCAGGAGCTACTAAGAGAAGAGGGAGATGAAGAGACTACCAGTGACGATGTCCCCCATATCCAGTGTGAAGATGGCTGTGACCCCCAGGGACTAAGGGACAACACTCAGGTACCACTCAGATGAGCCTGGGCCAGGCGGAAGAGAGGGCTGGGAACGTGCTAGCACCGTGGTGAACTAGACATTGCGTCTGAGACCTGAGAGGAGCTGGGTGGGTCTTCAGCGAATGGGGAAGAAGAGGGTGTTCCGCCCTCATTTATCCCTCCCCTCTCTCCCTAGTTCTGCCTGCAGAGGATCCGCCAGGGTTTGTTTTTTTACGAGAAGCTGTTGGGCTCAGACATTTTCACAGGGGAGCCGGCTCTCCTCCCTGACGGCCCTGTGGGTCAGCTTCACGCCTCTCTCCTGGGCCTCAGCCAACTCCTGCAGGTATGAACTAGGGGCCTGGAGGATGGGGGCTTGCAGGGGGCAGAGGCAGAGGCTGCGGGGCTAAGGAACTTGAGCCCTCTCTGACCATGTCCTGTGTCCATTCAGCCCGAGGGTCACCACCGGGAGACTCCGCAGACCCCGAGCCTCCATCCCAGCCAGCCATGGCAGCGCCGCCTCCTCCGCTTCAAGATCCTTCGCAGCCTCCAGGCCTTTTTGGCCGTGGCTGCCCGAGTCTTTGCCCATGGAGCGGCAACTCTGAGCCCCTAAGGCTACCAGCTTGAGGATGGCACCCAGAGCTCTTGGCTCAGTGGTGCCAAGACAAATCTAGTGCCCCAGACAACTGTGCACTAACAGTCCATCACTTCCAGTGGACTTGCAAATGTTGAAAAATTTATCAACTGACTGACTTATGATGCTGACTTATGACAAAGCTGAGTATTTATTAGGTGGGAGGGGAAACTCTGGGACTATTTATTCTCATGGGAGCAGTTCAAGGATTATTTATTATATTTATACTGAATTATGTATTTTTTCCAATAAAGACTTATTTATGTGCCTATGAGAGTCTAATTTCTAGGTTCAGCTGGGAAAGAAGGGCCGGGGGACTTCAGTTCTCATCCTTTGCTTCTCCTCTGAAGACTAACATATAAAATACTACTTTCTCCAGAGCCCCTGGCATAAACTGGGATCTTTCTGACATTAATCCCTGTGTGGCTGAGCAAATAGAACAGCTTGAGATTAGGAAATGGGGGCACACCTGGGGTCACTCACTTCTTGATCCATTGGCTCTTTCCCAGCTTTCTTGGCCAAGAATTTATCTAGCCAGGGGCCAGCACTGTGGCATAGCAAGTAAAGCTACTGCCTGCGATGCTGGCATCCCATATGGGCCCCGGTTTGAATCCTGGCTGCTCCACTTCCAATCCAGCTCCCTGCTAATGTTCCTGGGAAAGCAGTAAAGATGGTCCAAGTCCTTGGGCCCCTGCATCCACGTGGGAGACCCGGATGAAACTCCTGGCTCCTGCCCTGGCTGTTACAGAAATTTGGAAAGTAAATCAGTGGATGGAAGATCTGTTTGTCTCTCCCTCTCTCTCTCTCTAACTCTTTCAAATAAATCTTTTTAAAAAGAGTATATCTGGCCATAGACAGGAGTCCTGAGGACTGTGGGATCCGAGAGCTGAGTTTTGAGTAGGAAGGGTGCTCCTGGAAGATGAAAGTCCATCTCCCAAACCAATAGGATTCTCCCATAAAGGAAAGCCGTGGACCTCTTCAAGAGTTTGGTTACCCAAGGGGAGCCAAAACATTTTTGGAAAAAAAAATAGGAGAAGGGGCTAGTGGTTATTTCCTTTCCTTTCCCCCAAAGTCACAGCATTGAGAATGTAGGCTTTGGAGTTGCCCAGCCCCAGGTTCCTGTCTTGGCTTTGCCACCAACCAGCAGAGTGACAGTGGGACAGTTAAATAACCACTCTTCCTCTTCCCTGACACATACGTAGTCACAGCCACAGCAAGGCTAAGGGACAGGAGGAGCTGCTCCCAACTGAGAGGGAAGAACCGTGAGGAGTGGGGCATACTGGGGTTTGTGGAAGACAGGCCACGGCTCGCCCACCTTGTTCCTGTATCTTGATGTGCCTCAGGACATTGGCCTTTATGAGCAGAGAAGTAAAGACATGCAGAGATGAAAGTTTCCAGGCCAGCATGACGTTTATTAGCTCTTGCTGCTGGGAGGGGCCTCGAGGGGCTGTTGTGCTGACACAGCAGACACGAAGCAGCCACGTGCCTGGGCCTCACCTTCATCCACCTCGAGTTACACCAGAAGCACATCTAGCACAATGGCAGTTACCCCTGGGGGCGGCGGAGGTGTGAGGTTGTCCAGGGTCTATGTTAAACCTTCGAGGCACTAAGTTCCAGGGACTTGGTCTTTGCCCAGCTCCACTCCCAAGAAAGAGAAGCCTTCCCTTCAGGTAAAAACAGTGTATAAAGGAGGAGGATGACAGTGTAGTAGAAAAATAGGTAAGACCCAACCCTTGTCTTCTTCCAGAAATCCCTGAACTCTACCCAGTGCCGTTGAAACCAATGCCTAAATTCCTGGCATCCCTGCCCTCCCGTGGCAATCTGTCCCCTAAGTGTTGGGGAAGTGGAGACTAAGCAACTTGAGTGAGTGTACAAAGCTTCACAGCCACAGTGGATTGGCTGAGTCATCTTGTGGGAGAAATGCACGTGGCCAGCTGAGGGGGCGGAGCAAGGGATGAGCCTAGTGAGAAGAGCAGGGCTACCTCCTACTGCCGTCCTCAGGGTATAGCTTCCCTGGGTGGGCTGAGTCAGAAAAACAGTCCCGCTATGCCTCTGTGCTCCCCGCCGAGGGCCGGTGCCAGGGTACACTAGCTCAGCCTTACCTGGAATTCAATGCGACAGTCCTTCCAAGCTGGCAAGAAGCCCTGCCCGAGCATCTTCCAGCACCTGCCACTATCCTGGCCTGCCCCCAGAAGCCCACGCTTCGGGCCCAGCAGGTAGCCCCGGGGATCCTGCTAGGAACTACGGCCAGCATCTGCTCTGATCCCGGGGTGCCCTTCCATGTCCGTGTGAGGCTCTCACCTCCCACTCTCACTCCCACTCTTGGAGAGCAGCATCATGATGTGGGGAGGGGGGAGGAGCAGCAAGAGATGTGGGACAGAGGAAATGCAGTTCCTAGTAGTCAGACGGAACCAAGGGCCCATCGGAGTCAAAGTGGCTGTGGCAGGAGATGTAAGTATCGTCCGTGGCGTCCTGGTCAGCCAACAGCGGGTCTCCATTGGGCATGATCTCTTCAATCTTCACAGAGTTTCTGAAGACTAGAGGATCCAGAGCGAGAAGTCAAGCCCCGATCTCAGCTGGGAGACCCCAGCCCAGCAGGCAAAGTGAGGGAGGATGGTGGGAAAAGGCCTGGACGGGACCTCAGGGGAACAGGGGACATGGGAAGGCGTGGGTGTTTCCTAATGAAAGGTATGACCCGGAAATGAGCCCTTCTCCAATGAGGAGCTTGCAGCACCGGTGACAGGTGAGGGAGGGAAGGTGGGAAAGGGAGAGAAGGCCAGAGGGACTACCACTGGGCAGGCCGGAGTGGCCACTCTCTCAGCCCTAGCCACATCCCCTCACTTACTTTCCATTTCCTCAGTGTTCAAGTGTCTCATGTCGCTGGGCATATCTGCTTCTGGCTCTGGCTCTGGCTGGGAGTCACGGAAGCATGTCTGGCTCTGGCATGCTCTGTGGCACCAGGCCCAGCGTGGGCTCCAGCCCCAGGTCCAGCCCTGTCTCCAGCAGGGTCCCTAACTCCAGGCTTAACGCTAGCTCCGGGCCTGGTGCTAGCCCCGGCTCCAGCTCTAACGGCTCCAGCTCTAACGGCTCCAATTTTGGCTCCAGCTCCAGTGGCAGTGGTAGTGGCGGTGGCTGCAGCTCATCCAACTGTCTGCAAACACCAAGACAGGAGAATCTGATGAACCCGGGTCACCTGTAGCCACGTGCCCTAGGCATGCCTCTTTCCCCACTCCGAACATCCGTCTCCTCAGACGACAACGATGATCACAATGGCTACCTCACAGGACCACTGGCGAAGATTCAAGAGAAAGGGAAAGTGAACACAAAGCATTCAGCCCGGTGCTGGCGTGTAGGAAGCTTTCCATAAACGTGGCTCTGATTACCACCTGCTCTGACGGGTTCTCACAAGGATTAAATGATCAAAGGTTCTTAAAACATCTAGTACTACGCCTGGCATCAGGTGGGCGACCATTGCTACCAGCGAGCATAGCCTCTCTTCCCGGGGAACCACTGTGAAGATATGAGGATGGCAGCAGGGAAGAAACAACAGAGGACAAAGACTAGAAGAACCAGAGAAAGCCAGAGGGCCGGAGAGTGTGGGTCAGCACAGGGAGCCTGCTGGGGGGAGAGGGGGAGGGCTGGAATCGGGCAGGTTAGAGTCGCTCTGACAGCCTGAAAGGATCAAGGAGGATGGGCAGAGTTCACACCTCACCTGTTGGAGACCACAATGAGCCTATGTTTCAGGTATTTCCTCCGTTCCTGGAGATTAACTGTGAGGGCCATACAAGGAGTTGGGGTCAGTGGGGTGCACACACGGCCCACAGGTCTCCCAGTACAGGTGGTCCTGGCTGTCACACCTCCCTGTGGGCTAGCAGGGTCCCATCAACAAATCCCTTCACTTCTCTGGGTATCATTTTTTTTTTCCTTAAAGATTTATTGGTTTCTTTGAAAAGCAGGTTGGTCTTCTGTCTAGTGGTTCACTCCCCAAATGGTTCAAATGACAGGGGCTATGCCAGGAGCATGGAAATCCACCCGAGTCTCCCATGTGGATGGCAGGGGCCCAAGCATTTGGGTCATCTGCTGCTGCTTTCCTAGGTGCAATGGCAGGGAGGTGGATTGGAAGTGGAACAGCTGGGATTCGAACGAGTGCTCATATAGGATGCCAGTGTTGCAGGTGGTGGCTTAAACCACTATGCTACAATGCTGGCCCCTGGATATCATTTTCCCATGTTTGAAATGGAGCTGGATTTATGATGTCTGAGAATTCCTGCAATCTAGTAATCAAGTATGTTAACAAGTCCCACCATGTAGCACAGTTAAGCGGCTGCTTGCAATGCCAGCATCCTATGTTGCAGTCTGAACCAGCTCCCTGTTAACATGCCTGGGAAGGCAGCAGATGATGGCCCAAGTGCTTGGGGCCCCACCACCTACATAAGAGACTCCAGATGGAGTTCCTGACTCCTGGCTTTGCTCAGGCCCAGGCCTGGCTATTAGTGGGCATCTGGGGAGTGAAGCAGTGAACAGAAATCCCTCTCTATCATTCTGCCTTTTTACTAAATACATGTGAGTAAATAAATATGTAAATAAACAAATCGGTTGCCACCTTTTTCCTGGTAGTAGCATCCAAAAGCCTCATCGCGGGGGATTCGGGGGTAGAGGAAGCGCAGTGGGTTCTCGGGGATGTTCTCGTCGGTGAGCAGCTGGTAGTGGCGGATGATTTCAGTCAGCGGGAGCGACTGCAGCACCTCCTTGGTGTAGGGCTGCACTGAGCAGATGAGCACCTTATCTGGAGGGGGAGCAGGAGCAGGCGGGCCTGAGGGAACCGGCCTGGCCCGGGAGCTCCCGTGCCTGGGCCGCCCAACCCCGGACAGAGCCAGAGAAGTCAAGGGCAGGCTGGGGGGCAGAAGGGTGAGGCTGCGGGGAGGTCGGGGCAGGGCAGGGCGGCTGACCGTCCTCCTGGTGCTCCACCCAGGAGCAGGTAATGCCCCCTTCTGACGATTCACTGAAGCGCAGAAGGAAAGTGCCAGACACCATCTTCTTCAGCAGCCGGCGCTCTTGGCTGCGATTCACAAAGCCCATGATGCGCCTGCGCATGGAAGGCAGTGGTGGGGCAGGTGGAGCCAGCAGGGGGCCCTGTCGGCCGCAGCACAGGGGCCAGGCCTCAGGTCTGGGCCCTAGCTCGGTCCCTTGTGCACTTTCCTCTTAACTCACCTAAACTGCAGTACTGGACTGACAACACCCCCCTCGCAGGGTTCCAGGGAGGGGGGTAGG